ATCCATAGAGGATACTATAGTAAAATTTTAGCACTAGCTGTAGTAAGTGGAAGGGGTTGAGAAGACTGATAAGTAGATATTAATAGCTTTGTTAATAATAAGATATATATATTTATATATAGTTTTTAATTAATTTAACTGGTTGATATCTAATATACTATGAAATTTAAAAACTTCTAATATTCTTATACTATAAAAAGTATAATCTTTAGTAACTATTTTTGGTAAAATCTTTAACTATAATTATAAAAATAAAATAAAATAATTTTATTAAATTTGATTAAATAGTTAATTTAAATTATAAAAAAAGGTACTAAAAATAATTTTATTATTTCGATTAACTTTCCCATAATATTTATATATCATATAACTAAATTTGAATTATTTTGATATTATTTGTTTTAATAGTTAAGATTTGTTTAGATTTACTAAATAAAGTAAAATAATATATAAAGTGGGAGAAAGGATATAAAAAACGCAAATTAATAAAAACAGTAATTCTATAGATTGTAAAAAAATATAAAAATTTAAAATTTACAACTTGACTGGTTAAGATGTTTTTACTGTATATGTAAACTTTAAATGAAGAATTAAATTGGTATAGTCTAATTGAAAACTTGAGTCTAATGCAAAATAAAATATCCAACAAGAAAACTTGCAAAAAACCCAGACGTATTATGCTGCTACGGGCCTATGTCACAAGAAAAAATTGCAGTACGTACATCGCATCTATAATAAGCAGTTCAAATTTTAAAAAGTTAATATTTAATTATTAAAGACCCGCGTTTACACCAGGGTATTTTGCAATAGGGAATATTGTAGAGAGGAATATTTTAGTCAGTACAATACAGTAATATTTTAGTATAAATCTATTTTTACCATAACTTGCAAAATAAATCTGCAGTAATATCAAAATATAATATACTTTTTACTATATATAAACTTTTTCTAAAATTTGCAAAAAACTCGTCATAAATTCGCACCATCTAATAATATTATTATTTAATTTATAATGTATACAGTATAATAATTATAACTAGATTTTTTTAAAAAAATTTTTATTTAATTGCAAATATATAATATAATACAATAAATACATACAACTTATTACATTCTTTATCAAGAGTGTAACATTACTCATATAATATATATACTTAGCTCCACCAATCCATGTATAGTGTGATAAAAAAAATCATGTACTATAATTATACTGCATAAAACATGATAACCAACAAACCCACATATCAATGGCCAAATCACGTAATAAATAGAATTCCTTTCCTATTGATAATTTACCATTTCTTGTATGGTAAAAACTTACCCTCGAGTATTATTTTCACTCTGGATGAATCATCACTCCCTTTGACCTAATATGATAAATCAGCTATTAATAAATGATATTAAAATAAAAATTAAAAATATTTTCTTACCTTTTCAACATTTGCGGTGAAATCAATTGCAGACATAATTCCATCACCAAACTATAAAAGGAATAATTATTGATTAAATATGTAATGAATAAATTGAAAGTTCGTAAAGTTACCTTTTCATTAATAACATCCTTCAACGGAAGTCCATAAATCTATTAACCAAAATAAAAGTTGAATATTATAAAACATTTAAATTCAGAGCAATATCTAAATCACTTTTACCTGTACGATTTCATATAAACGATAAATCAAAGGGTCTCTAGGAGGAAGTTCGAATAATCTATGTTTCACAAAATTTATCCCGTCAAGAAATATTTTCCGTAACACAAAATCAGGCTGAAATAAATAATTTAATCCTCCCCCCGATTACTATATCAAGATCACAGGAGGATTAATTAATAATCCACCTTACCCTCCACGCATAGGAAAAAAAGTTTGAGTTCCAAGATCACTTGTAAGGTATTGTTGTGGTAAATCCAAAATTGCGCTTAATTTTTTAAGATCTGCCTCTTCAGGCTTAGCCTTTTTGAGTAAGAACAATCCAATAGGAATGTCAAAGTGAACCAAAAGAGAAAGAAAAAAGATTAATAAACAGGGTTGGCAATGGAGCCAATGGAGCAAATGAGCTCAATGGTTATACGAATGGATCTCAACAAACTAGTATCTATTGGCTCCATTCAGAACTCCATTGGCCCCATTCGCAGCTCCACTGCCAATACTGTTAATAAGATAAATAAGTTAAAAAAAACCTGGCCATAAAAAACAGATGCAACCCAAACTTCATCCCTGCCGAGTTGACTTCCAATGTCAGCAAAGCTATTAATTTTAAAATTTTGTCAGAGTATTGTAAGCCATGGAATTGTAAATATCTAGTTGTTTCATGAAACATACGTGAGTTTTTTTGATGCTTTAGCGTCAAAAAATTTTTGCAGGATAGGAGATAATTGAGCTCTTAGTGTAGGCTTAATTTAATTGAAAAATTATATCAGTGAAATTTGCATAAAAAAAAAACAATTATTTCTTCCACAACTCACATTCATATTTCAAGCTAAATGAACAGACATCAAATTTGTTAGGGTTAATTGTGTCGCGTCATCATCTAATTATTATATCAAACACATGTTTGATGTGCATAAACCTGTTATCGTTATCTTTGTGTTAGGATATTATTCACATACGTATCGATATTTGACTTTCTCGTTGATTGTACAACGGAGAGTTTGGTTGTTTAATAAACAGCTTAATGGATAGCATAATAAAACATAAAACCATGACGAAATCATGAGCTCATATTTATCATCATTGCGACGCAATATTTTTAATAAGAGGTGCCCGATAAATTGAAACACGAATTATTGTATTATTGTTACGGGCTAAATTGAAGTATTTCACCTTTGCCAAATTATTTTACTCTATCGAATTTTGAATAGTTATTTTACTCTGCAAAAGGTTTCAATTTTTGAAAAATAATTTCTTCCGCAGCACTAACCCAAAAAATATGTATATAAAACGAGAAAACATCGTCTTTTATAATGTAAAACAGAAGCTGAAAATGATAGGATTGCGATGAGTAGCCAAAAATTATAGGTAAAACTTCAATCATAAAAATCGCATTTATTCCATATGTTTGTTTTACTATATAATTCAGCCGACTTTTTTAGTATGTGGAATATAATTCCATATTTCTATATCTAAGGTGGATGCGGCGAATCCACTTTTTTTTTTTGTTTTTTTTTTTTTGTTAAAGAGGAAAAAAAAATAAAAATAAAATAATCCCTCATTTTACATATGCTCCAAGAAAAAAAAAAATTAATATCCAGAAAGATAAAAACCAAAATCTATTAGTTCACAATAAGTATTACACAAAGTTGTAAAGAAAAAACAAATAAAGTAAAGAGCGCAACAAAAAAAAAACTTCATTGCTATAAAATCGATGCGCTCATATATAGTTTTTTTTTTTTTTTTTTTTTCTTTTTTTTACTTGTTTTTGTTTCTTCCGTCCGATGGTGAAATTCGTCCAAACAGAATTCAAGATTTCAAAGTTGAAGTAATTTAAAGGGAATCAGAATCTGCTTGACAAATATTAAAAAAGTAGGTAATTTTTAAAATGTAGACGATATGCAAAACAATGTTTATATAGAACGAGTTCAGAAGTTCCTGGCGGTGTTATTATAAAGGAAATATATATATCCGAAATGCAATAGCGTTCAAAAATAATTTTGTTTTCTTTGTTTTTTGTTGCCTTTGAGAAATCTGGAGAATTTTCGTTGTCAACCTAGATAATATTGGATGATCGGTCATTAGGAAAACATATAGTGTCACGATGGAAAAAAATGAGAAAATTAGAGAGTTCGTATACATATATATATTTTTTAATTAATTAGGATAGTTAGGTTGCACGAAAGAACCCATTATCTTAGAATTTTTTTTTTTTTTTAAAGGAAAGTCCAAAATTATGCACTACACTATCATATGTTTATGAATATTATAAACAAATGACCAACAAAAACGAAAGTCGGATGGCGCGAATGTTGTGACAAAAATATGAATTTATATGAAATACTTCATCGAATTTTAGTATCTTTTTTCTAGCCAAATAAAATAAATTTTACATACACGAGTGCAACCATAGAGAAAAAAAAAAATCAAAAACTTAGCTACACATACTACATGTAATAACGCCGATGAACTTTTGCCAAATTCCTCGCCTTCGGTGAGAGTTTGAATCAGCACCATTGTTTCCTTGGATACCATTAGCAGTGCCGCCGTTACCTCCGTTCATACCAGCACGACCAGAGTACGGATTATTCAAATCTTCGACTCCAGAATTCAAAATCGCACTGTTGTGTTTGTTGTGCGCTTTTCCAGTCCCTCGTGGTGCCTTAGAATTAGCATTAACTAAAGCAGGTGAAGGAGGTGTTTGTTGTTGGCTACGGTTCATTGATGGACCACGATTAAGTGATGAACGATGAAGGCGTGGGTCTGATGATCCGTGATGAACATGAAGGTGAGCAGATTGATGAATACCAGCGTTCGTACTATATGGCTGGGAGGAGGTACCATGAAGTGTTACGCGGGTGTTAGTTTCAGGATTAAGTGTGCCGTCATCTTTCCGCTATTGATGTTGTGGATCACAAACCAAAAAGCGACAAAGACGATGGAAAATAAATATAATCTCTGAGAAAGTTCTTTGTAATTGTCATGATAACTCAAAAATATTGAGAAACCAGAAAAAGTATTAATAAAATAATTCTTACCGAACCTGCCTCCCACCCTTTGCCACCATTTAATAGCATCCAATCATAAACACCATCTTCTACCTCATTAGTATTCTTTAAGACTTTAGTGAAAAGTTCTCTCAAAAAATCATAATCTGGATTTTCCTCGAAATTAAGCTTACGGACATAATTAAGATAAATCCCAAATTCCTCTATAAAAAAAAAAAAAAAAAAATTTTGAACACCAAATAATTAATAATAAACAATCAATGTAATATATCTTATATATAACAGAAAACATACCTGGGAAACCTTCACATAATTCTTTGATTGGCGTTGATTGCTTTTTTTCTCCAATTTTTTCATATTTTTGTTTATTTGTGGCTGCTTTAAGTCCTTGCCATGGTAGACCACCTCTTAAAAAATACATAAAAACATGACCAAGAGCTTCTAAATCGTCACGTCGTGATTGCTCTGTAGGGTATTGCATTTAAATACGTATTTTTACACTATCAATACAATGAATTATGAAGTAGATGTTGCAAGTGTATTAAAAAAAAACTCGTACAAATTAATGACTTGCCTCTTCCTAAATGTGTATTGATACTCATATACCTAGCCGTTCCACTTAGACTTTTTCTTTCTCGATATGGAATATGTTGTCTTGTTTTTGGGTCACGATATTGTTTAGCCATGCCAAAATCAACAACATGAATTACGTTGGCAGATTTTGTCCCCGGACGGCCAATCAAAAAGTTATCTGGCTTGATATCACGGTAAATGAGGTTCTTCTCGTGAATAGTTTGTACTCGTGTAAGCTAATAATTCATAACATATATAAAAATTAAATAAAATAATAAGTTACGTTAATGTGTATATAAATGTGTATAACAAATTAGTAAACATTCGATTACTAAAATTTTAATATGTTCTTACCATTTGCTTTGCTACCATAACTACTGTCTTAATGCCGAATTTTCTTCCGCACATATCAAACAAGTCCTCCAGACTTGGACCAAGAAGATCAATGACTAGTATGTTATGTAAACCTTCTTGACCGAAATAGTATACGGTTGGTATACCCGCTATATACAAATATTTATAACTTGATTAAAGATTTCCACGTAATATTGGTTCAAAATTAATTACATACGTGAGCCAGCCAAAATTTTATATGTTCTATATTCGTCTCGAAGTTGGGGTGCATCACTTTTTCGTGGTTCCTAGTTTTTGAATTTTGTAATTTAACTAATAAGTAACTTTATTCTTGGCCATTAACCGTAGGAGAAAAGAAAAAAAAAAAAAAAAAAAAAAAAAAAATAAAAAAAAAAAGGTACAAATTTTTTGGCAACATGTTGATTATTTAGCAAAATTT